CTGGATAAAGGGGTGTGGCTAGGCAACAACATCATTGGAGGAGGATGAAGCAACAGAGAAAGATGAGGATGAGATTGACGAAATAGATGAGGATGATTAGAAGGGACATTTTTCTTTATTTTATGTTTATGTATATTTGGACATTTATTTTTTTTGTGAATAGCGATGTAAATATTTTAGAGTAAATGCATTTTATTATTCTATTATTTTATTAAATAATTTACTATTTGATAGCTATATTGTATATTAAATGTTATGATAACAGGTCTGGTAATGTAAATACCAAAGAATGAATTTGTTTTTTTTATGCTACAGGTTTCCGACAACTTACCATCGGTTTGCGACAATTCCAAACGTAAAACCGATTACTGACCTACGAACATTTTTACCGATGTTTAACCAACACATAACTGACTGCATAAGGTGCATCACACAAAAATGACAGACGTGATACTTTTTTGACAATTAACTCGTCGATTATTACAAACAACGCATAAACCACTCTTAACTGACGGTATTACATGTGTCAAAAAACCGACATGTGCGCCACTTTTTTGATAGTTTACCCATCGATTATAAAAACGATATATAACCGATGGTTTTTCCTACTACAAAAAATCGATGGGTGCGACACTTTTTCAACGTGTATTCATCACTATTACAGACCGTCAAACCGTCGGTTATACGAACCAACGTTTACAGACGACTTGAATTTTCTCAAAAAACTACAATATTAAATCGCCGGATAATCATTGGTACATTTATACCAACAAAATATCTGTTAGTTTTGTAATTACTAACAAGTGTTTTACTTAGAAGTTTAAAACAGTCGATAAATCATCGGTAACATTAAAAGCGACTCTTTTCTTATCATGACCGATGGATTGTGGCCGTCGAAATAAGCGTAAATTCCAATAGTGTCTAGCCCCCAAAATTATATTTCTATCTGGTTGCTTCTTCTTTCATTCATCTCTAAATTTCCACCTGTTTAACAATATATACATATATTTGTGTGTAGACACACACAAATATATATCTATAAAAATATTCTATATAAATTCAGAAACGATTAAACTCACATAAAAACTCTACATAATTATCATCAGAAACACTTTTTCTTTGCTTTGCTTCTTTATACAGCTCCATTGAATACTTTCCCTATCCAAATGAATACAATTGCGTTTCTTATAAACTAGTTAATGAGATTGAATGAGATATAATCTTTCTCTATCTCATACTTGCTCTTAGAATTTAATTTTATAAGATGGTGATGAGATCTGCAGTGCTTTATGGCGCAGAATTGTGGCTTTTAGAAGAGAACTATAAAACAAAGTTAAATGTTGTTGAGATGAGAATGCTTAGGTAGATGAGTTGCTTGACACTTAGAGACAAAATGCCAAATGTATATATTCATGATTGGGTTGGACAAGATTAGAGAGAGCCGTCTTATATGGTTTGGTCGCATTAATCGTCGACCAGCCGACGATCCGATTAGGAGAGTAGATGTTTTAGCTTAGACTGATATTAAGAAAGACAGACGTAGCCTTAAAACACCTCGGGCATATTGTATAAAAAATGATCTTAATCTATTAGAATTAAAAGAAAATATGACACTCAATAGGACGCATCGGAGAGCATCGGAGAGAAAATGTCGGAGAGAAAATGCATGCTTGTTTTATGTGATTTCGCTCCTTTTTGAAGGCCAAGAAAGTAATTTTGATAACTCAAAAGTATGGATCATCATCCTCACCCGATTCTAAAAATAGCAGCTTTAGCATCTTTGGAAATGAAACCATCGACAGCAACAATAATATACTTGTGTCTCCAAACTTACTTGCATTTGTTATATTAGCAACCTAAGTATCACTTTCATGTAAAGGAGAAATAAATTTATCCAATTTCGTTAATTAATTTCTCATACATAGATATAGAGAGAGAGAGAGAACTGCATTTAGAGAGAGAGAGAGAGAGAGAGGAGAGAGAGACTGTCAGGGCAGTCAATTCCCAAGAAAAGAACTGTCCGGGCAAGCAGCTTGCTATACTATTTATATTTTGAAAAATTTACATACAGTCCTTATATATTTACATATCTCAGGGCTAAATTTTCATATTTACATGATATTTTGATTTTTGATGTTTTAAATTTATGCATAAAAATACGTATTTAACTTTTAAAGAATAAAAATGATATTTTTTTATGTGATAATTAAGACTTGACTGTTATTTATGTAAATATAAAATTTTTTGTGAGATATTTCAATATATAAATATTGTTCTCCCTCAACACTATAAATTAGAATTTTGAGTTGCTTCAACTTTAGTGGATAATTTACTTTTCCAGGCTCAGCTCGTGTTCGGCTCGTTCATATTTCGAGCTAAAAAAGTGTGCTCGTGTTCGGCTCGTTTCTTCATTAATATTTTTAATTGATTGTAAATCTTTATAGCCTTGTAGTCAACTACATTTTTAAAAAAGACTACTCATCAAAGATATATATATAATTCATTAGTAGTGTTTCGAGCCAAAACGAGCTGAACACGAACGAACAAATATTGATTAATGTTGTATGTGTTTGTCTCGCTCGCGAGCCGAACACGAGCTTCTTAACGAGCCGAAAATGAGCTGTTCTCGAACAACGAACCGTTTTGACAGCTCTAATTTTCACATATTTGACATCTTTCCTATGCGCCTATAGATACACTTTAACTTTCACAAATTATGATGGTGATATTTTTGAAGTGATGTATAAATGTAAAAAATTAAAACTGATGTATTAAATATGTAAATACAAAAAAATTGGGTGGCAAATTCACTAATCATAAAAAATAAACAAAAAATTATATTTTTGCTATGTTTATTAGGAAAAAGGCCTGAAACAAATACAATTTCTGCGCCTCTCCACCGCCCGTCATATCACCGTTACTGTCAGCCCTCCGATCTAACCGTCGCCTGAACTAACAACTAACCGAGAGAGAGAGAGAGAGAGAGAGAGAGAGAGAGAGAGGGAACTGATTGAAGAAGGGGACCAACTTCTCCACCGGGCCTATGCGGGGACCTCCGACCACCATGTGTCGCGTTCAGCGGCCACACCAGGTCGCCGCCGGTGGTCCCCTATGTAGCCCCCTGCTACTTTAATTTTCCCTGGCCCACCTGCACCGCGAGATCCAATCCTGCCCGAGCAAGGCAAGATTCAGAAACTGACTCCACCTCCTTTCATTTCACTAAAAATATAAACTAACCCAATCCCCCATATCTTTGAAAAAATATTATGTGAGATTATGATAGGTGCGTATTTGTGGTATTCACCATAATAATAATATGATACCACCACAATACTACCAATTTGTAAGGGCCTAACCAACCATTTCTTTTTAGGGGGGTCAAGCTGCCGCCTAAACCTAACATGACAGGGGTTAGAATAATGGAAAGAATATTGCATCGAGGCTCTCGGCGTAAATTTGCGTTTGAAGTTTAGTGATAAGTTTTCGCTGGACTCCGAACACAAAATTTCGTCCGGAATCCAAATATAATAATCTTTCAAGATAATTAAGGATAAAGTGATAATTTAGAATGGAAAAAACTGATAATTTTGTAGAGGCAAAAGATTAAATTATCCATTCATATAAAGAAAAATCTGAAACACATGAAGGCCATAATTTGTCTCCATGATTTATCCCATAAGCAAAGAGACAGCTCGATTTGCATTAATGGGGGCCGAAACAAGTCCAGCCAAGCCCCAGAATATTCTAAAATTTACAACCGAAATCAACAAACAGTTCAGACAAAGCCCAAATCACAACACCTAGTTAGTTAGCTTATTTTAACTGACATGTAGAACACCATACATATATATATATATATATACCTCGAACAACGAACCGTTTTGACAGCTCTAGTTTTCACATATTTGACATCTTTCCTATGCGCCTATGGATACACTTTAACTTTCACAAATTATGATGGTGATATTTTTGAAGTGATGTATAAATGTAAAAAATTAAAACTGATGTATTAAATATGTAAATACAAAAAAATTGGGTGGCAAATTCACTAATCATAAAAAATAAACAAAAAATTATATTTTTGCTATGTTTATTAGGAAAAAGGCCTGAAACAAATACAATTTCTGCGCCTCTCCACCGCCCGTCATATCACCGTTACTGTCAGCCCTCCGATCTAACCGTCGCCTGAACTAACAACTAACCGAGAGAGAGAGAGAGAGAGAGAGAGAGAGAGAGAGAGGGAACTGATTGAAGAAGGGGACCAACTTCTCCACCGGGCCTATGCGGGGACCTCCGACCACCATGTGTCGCGTTCAGCGGCCACACCAGGTCGCCGCCGGGGGTC